CTGAGGGGTTTTTTTTAAGCCAACGGTATCTCCAGTAAAGTCTAGCAGGTTTGAAAACTGTGTCAAACTTTTGCTACACTGTACCTTTTGTGGCTGGGCTGAGACAAAGAATTAAACTTAATGCAGGTATCTTTCACAGGCTCTCGGTAAAATCTTCTTTCTTTAGTGACTTTCACCCACTCTTATGTCCTTTAAACATGTCTGATGGCTCTAGCATGTGTGACCCAGATGAAGCCCCAAAGCACAGAAGCTACTTGTGAAGTTGTGTTATTTGGGTAAGTAACAAGACCAGTGACGAGTGAATATAGTTCCCCAGTGGCAGTATCTAAAGCTAATCTAGGGGGTGAGGAGAAAGGCTGGCAGCAGGAAGAGATGGGGGGCAGGAGGAAGAAGTGAAGAGAGGTGAGAGGGAATGCTGAAAGAAGCCCCAGCAGACTCAGTGAAAAGAGAAAGAGAAGTGTGATTTCTTCAGTGTTCAGCTGTGACAGTGAGATGACTGTGGGTGCATGTGTGGATGCGTGCATGCATACAGGCACCAATGATGACGGCTTTGTGTGTGCTGAGCTCAGCTAATGCCATGCTATCATCTCCACTGGGGCATCAGAACACTGCACTGGCAGAGAATCAACTGCAGGTCAGATCGCTGGCGCTCACTCTTTCAGTGAGCTGGCCAAGGTGGTGGGAGTGCAGCCACTCTGCCAGAATACCAAAAAGAGCAGGGCAGCGGTGGAGAGAGGGGGGTAGGTAGGTGCAGCTGAGAGATCCGTACACATTTAGTGGAGCTACACATACCTCTTAATGTTCGGGGAAATTATAATGAACTTGTATGAAAAAACAAAAAAACAAAAACACACTTATAACAAGTATGAATCAGCGACAAGTGGAGATAATTGTCAAGTTTTTAACAACGCCGCAGTTGCACTTCGATATTTCACTACCACTGAAATTTCTCACCCTGCCAAAAGAGAATCTAAGGTGATGCTGAAGGTGAGAAAAATGATGTCTAAACTGGCGACAGCGAGAGAAAGACTAAAGGGGAAGCCAAGCCAGAGTATTTAGGTGTGCAGGACATCCATATTCAGGCAGAAAACTCAAGGGTACGATTGGCACACAGAAAGAGAAGGTCGCCAGAAGACAAGCTGGCATGTAGAAAAATAGCAGCTGACAGAGCAGCCAGAGTCAACATCTCTCTTGGTGTCTGTCACTTTTCTGGACTTACTTTTTACCACTCAATTTTAGCAAAATCCCACTAACCACAACTTATAATTAACAACAGACTATACTGATCCATTGTTCATGCATTGACTGTTCAAGGACAATTAGTCTAGTCTTCAGTTAGCAGTAATGGGCATTCTACTAGCTTTTATAAAAAGCTGAAAAATCGAATGTAAAACGTTGCTCCCATTTACACACTGATTCAAACTGGCTGGCATAAAGAGATATAAATGTGACAGCTGTTCACACAAGAAAATCTAACCTCTACTAAAGATCGAGCTCTATAAGCTAATGTCAGCACAAACTTGTCTATTGACATTCTTGCTAGCAATGTCAATACAACCTGATTATATAAAGACTGACCAATAACTTCTACTCTATTACACGGTGCTCCACTCCCCCCACACAGAATGCCTGATCGCCTCTATCAGTCACTGAGGGCAACAGACTCTGACAAGTTCACATCCACAGCTTCAGTTAAATGAAACCAACATTTTTCATTCTTAAATTACAATATAAAGCAGACCACAGCCAACACACATGAGCTCACTTAGCCTTTGGCTACAACACAACAAAACCATTGTCTGTAGGGGAGATTTAACATGGAGACCATTTGAATACAAAACAGCTTGCGGCAATGGTTGAGAACTTTCCATCTCTCCTCTCTGAGCTGTCAGAACAGGAGTCTGCAGGGGGGCAGCTGTTTTCACTGGCAAAAGGAGGGGGGGG